CCGCGTTGTCGTTACTCTCTCTCTCCCTCTCTCTCCCCCCCCTCTCTCTCTATAAAGAGACTCTAGTGGCACCCTAAGAGATTTAGTATAAGCGGAAGGGATTTTTTTTTATTTTAAGGGGCTATAAGAACACTTGTGGTATTTTGAAACGCAGCTCCTATTGCAAATTTTTACTGGAGTTTAACCGCACATTTAGGTTACTTTATGTCCTAGTTCCCGTATGAACACATAATGTCAGTAACTTTTTCTCATTGTGCACTCTTAGTATCTGAACTCTAACTGGTAGTGTTACCGAGAAAGCTGCACTTTACGGACTGCCGGCAACAGGCCAGCACGGATCGAGTTGTTCCGAATACAATATTTTTATCACCCCGTCAACTTTGCGCTTTCCTTCCTCCTATTCCTCGTGTCCTTCACAACACTGTCTCTCCTCCGGCCCAGCTGGACATGCTTGCATCGGGCGACTTACCTCCGTCGGATTAGGCACGACACAGTTCCGATAACACGAGCTATACCCTATTCTGCCGTCCTTAGGAAGAACGCCGTATGAACATTCCAGAGTTGCCAAATTGCCTGCGGTTGGTTGTTACATTTTGGAGAGAGTTATGAATATTTTGTCCTCAAATTTTCAGATAATTTAGATTTAATTATAAATGAAAATCCCTGAAAAATTGGAGGAAAAATATTCACAGATTGCCTGGAAAATTCATCAAATTATATAAAAAAAAATTTGGCTTTGTCGAAAGGCTCATATGGCGTTCTTCCTTAGCACAGCAGTATATCCATGACGTAACACCCGCCAAATGGCCATTAAAACTTTTAATCGGTGTACTTGCATGACCCTGCCGTCTTTTGGATTATGCACGCAACTTTCCAAGCAAAAGCTTCTGTCGAGTATAACCTGATCGAAAGTGTGACAAACCGTGCGTTCAGTATCATTTTAGTCCTTGCTTTGCAGCTTTTAAGCCTTGTAGTTCTCGTGGAGAGTGAGAAATTACACAAAAGTTCGGTTCAAATGGGAGGTGGAACACAAAAAAAGTAACCCAAGCATTCACGGAGTTTTATTATGATAATTCCAACCGTATTCCAAGCTGATTTTGCCGCCACGAAAAAAGGAGAAAGGTGGAAACAACTACACAAAAGTTTGGTTTCAACGGAAAGTAGACCACTAAACACTATGTAACTCAAGCTTTCACGGAAAAAAATTAAGATGATTTCGACTATATTCCAGGCTTATTTTGCTGCCAGCCAGAAGTAAGGCCGTGTCCGCAAGAAGTGTGGTTAAATAAACTATTTTGTCTGGATTATTCCGTGTTCCTTTATTTCTAAAAATGCTCATGCGGAATTCCACGAGTAAGCTCACGTATGTGTCGTTTTACAAGAATAATAGCCACCAATTTCAATTTTCATTCTTTCAGTCAAAATTCCAAATTCTCACGGTATATTTCCCAATAATTCTCACCATGACAGCTCCTACAATTTAAATGCTCTGTTCGGTGGGGTTATTTAAAGGAAAGGGTTGAGGACACAGCCACTATGGTTGTTATGAGTTTTATGCTGACTCTTATTATAGGGGCAGTGATTTGTGGAGAGCTCACGAAGCATGATTAAATTCGGTTGTTTAGTGTTAACAGGGCTCCTGGGTCCCAACTAACTCCCCACTGCGGTGTGATTTGCAAATCATCAGTCACCTCACGTAAGCCGCAGATTTGTTAAATGATTATGATCAAAAGAGGTGGCAGACAATAATTCTGTCCGTTTACTGAAGCAGGCCTCCGCTGTTGACAATTTTCATGCAGAAATTAGTAACTCACAAAGTCCTTTGTTAGGGAGGATTATCGAAAGAATGGATCTGTCGTATATAGGCCGAAAATCCAGAGAAGATATAGTTAAGAGACCCTGCACTGCTAATTTCTCTACAATTTAAAATTTACTTTTGGTAATTGAAATACTTACGCGCATGGAAAAGCAGAGAAGTATAAACAAAAAGCGAAAATATATCGTTGTAGTGTAAAAAAGTCGTCAACAGGCAATGCTCACAATGGTATCACCTTATCAGTTGTGTATAGACGACCGATGGCGTGGCGTACTTCGATATATATCGATATTTACCAATTTGAAGCTATGGTAAAGACTCGATTTTAAGGTGTTCGTAGCGAACACACTGTTTATCGAACCTTTTCTCCAGGTTTAAACGGCATAACAATCGATAAATCGCAATTCACGCCACGCCACTGTAGAAGACGCGAGAGACTTTAACGCGCGGGTAGAAAAAAGAACGCCGGTGATGCTCGGCACTTTTGGACGTATTAAGGCGTCTGCCTTAATACGTCCCAAGCACACCATCACAGACCCATCACAGTATTAGTGCTATTTAAGCATACCTATTAAGTAGGCAACAAGTTGCATATCATGGTACAACATTTAGCCTAATCGAAATTTTGAAGGAGTTTCCATTGATCGTGTTTTCCTCTGCGTTCTATCGCCAGGTTTCTACTTACAATCCTAAAAGTCGAATTTCCTTGAGAGAAATGGGTTCAAGTTTTTAACTTTGCTGCCAACTTCCGCTACAACAAAAAATTCCCTCAGAATTACGGCGGTTGGTGCGCCTAAAAGATTTGGTTTTCATGTTGGCATTGATGATGACCGCATCCAAAATTCTCTATCGATCTCCCTTCTTGGGTCTGAAAGTGGATGGATGCAAACGTTGGCCGCAAGTCATCAAATCCTTGAATTTAATCCTTGACTTCTGGCTAGTTTCTTTCTTTGTTAGTCGGCCGTTTTGTAAAATTTGGCTCAAAAGTGAACCGAATTCACTCGCGGAAATTCGCTTCATGAAGCATCTTCTCCACATTCGACAGATCTTTCATAACTCTTTTATTTGAACCGCGCTTATCTTACAGGAACCAAGCCACATCTGTTACTGCCAAATTTAAGTGGGCAATTTAAATTTTTTCCAAAAGAATGTTTTTGCGGATTATTTTGAAAATTTTAAGGAATTTACTTGGTATATTGTAGAAAATTCAATGAAATTTGCACAAAAATCTACATAGCCGTTTTCACGTAAAAACCTAAATTGCCCCATTGAATTTGGCAATAACTGACGTGGCTTGGTTCCTTCCTGCTTAACGCGATTCATTTACGCTTTATTTAAATGGAAAATGTCGAGGCTCAAGGAAAACTCTGGCAACACTGGATAACCAACAATATTTGCTCTTTAGCTTCGAGCTGCTATAAATAGCTATAATACTGGGCTAGCCATTCTGCCGTAATAGCGAAGTGCACAGTAAACGCATTCCTGTATGAGCCGTGGTTAGCACACGCTTTTATGTGTCTCGAGGTTCATTCCAGCATGTCTTTTCGCTATCACGGCAGCATTGGTAAGTATATACAGGGACAAGGAAGGAGATGGAGGTGAATGCGCAACCGGTGACGTTAAAGACCGCAATCGAGCTTATGCTGCCGTGCTAAGGAAAAACGTCGTATGAACCTTCAGGCGTTGCCGAATCGTCTTTGATAAAACATGAGTTCCCTGGTAAACCTATAAATATTTTTCTTCCAATTTTTTAGAGAATTTTGTTCGAATTTTGATCTAAAGTTCCTGAAAATTTCAAGGAAAAATATTCATAATTTTCCTTGAAAATAAACGTTTTATCAAAGGAAACTTGGCTACTCTCGAATGTTCATACGGCGCTCTTCCTTAGCATGGCAGCATGAGTGCCGGCTTTGACGTGATGAGCTCAGATATTCCGTATTGATATTCAAAAGGTGTACTCGCTTCATCCTTTTTTGTATACACTAGATGAGGAAAATTTGTAGGATTATGATATTGGTCTTATCTCTCAATCCAAAAGAAACGATCGAAACTTGGAATGGATGGGCCGAGGATTTCAGAATGGACTGGCAAACATTTAAATGAAAGCATTTACTTACTGATCCGTCTTAGAATGATATTCAGGGCAAGGAGCTTGAAAATCAACTCTTCAACTGTATATTTATGGTTGGTGTTATTATGTTCTCTAAAAACGAATGTAGAATTAGTTATGTAGTCATATACGAAGATTCGGATAAGTTTATGAGATAATTATAGAAAATCACCAGCGACTACGCTCCCTGACTGCTAGGCGGCCCAATCTCCAGCGGGTGCGTTGGTGCGTGGTGCCCTCCAAGGCCTGCTTCCGCGGGCTCTTGTGACTCAATCAATAATCTAAAAATGGTTCGATTGGTCTTCTTGTGAAAATTTCTTCCAGGAGCTCTCCTTAAAGTTGAAGACGGGACGAAATAAACATCAAAATTTGCAGTTTTAGTAAAAAAACTTCACGTCTGACCTCTCTGATTGCCTTAACCCACTGTGCGCCACTGCGAAAATTGCAATATTCACGTGAGACTTCGGCAAAATGCCGAATGTTTTCGAAAACTTTGCAATTTATGCACTAATTCTAGTTTCTGCGATCGGAATTTCCTCTTGAAGTTCCTTTCCCCCACCTCCAATTCCCCGCCGTGCTAAGGAAGGAAGCCGTATGAATATTCGAGAGTAGCCAAATTTTCTTCGATAAAATGGTTATTTTTGCGGAACGTTAAGATGATTTTTCTTTGAAATTTTCAGGCGCTCTAGGTGGAATTGCGACCAAAATAATCTGAAAAATTAGAAGAAAAATATTTAAAAATTTTAATTTTTTTTAAAATTTGGCAACGCTTGAAGGTCCATACGGCGTTTTCCCTCAACACGGCCGTATTTGCATGTGGGTTTGGCAAAATGCCGAATGTTTTCGATAACCTGCAATTTATGCACTAATTCTAGTTTCTAGGATCGGAATTCTCTCTTGTAGTTCCTTTCCCCCGGCTGGGATCGGCGATGAGCGCCACCCAAGTTCATTATCATTACCGGCGCCGAAATCCCGGTCCGTTCTCCGGGTCGGGTGAAAGTCCCGGGTTCCCGCTCGACTAGGTCTATTGTTTTACGACGTTCGCTGACCGGAGTGTTTTTTCTTCTGTTTCAGATGCTTTCTACGACGACGGGGCGCCCGACGGCGAGGAGTTCGCGCGCGGAGTCGCGTCGCTGGCCGAGCGAACCGCCCCGACGCCCGCCCACCCGATCCACCTGAGCAGCCTCGCCGGGCTCTGGGCCAAGCTCCTCCAGAGCGACCTCGTCCGCCGAAACCAAACGCGTGAGTAAACACAGTCAATAATACCTAGACCCATTCTAAAGTCAAATTGACTCAAAAATAGATTCAACGAGTGATGCAATGGACCTCTAGACAAGGTACGAATTTCAGCATTCTGATTCATGTTTCATAACTAAAATTTCACGTAGAACACGATGCGCACAACGGAAATTACCGAAATCAACTCCTTACGAAGATATTAAATGCTTCTTGATGTGTGAATTCAAACCACCCGCTCATGAAAACTCAATGCTCTACGTGATTCACATCTCGCGCTAAACATGACAGTATCGGCGATTTAAAAATCTGAAAGCCTCAATTTTGACGCTTTGGCTCAGCTATAGCAAATTCCTCATAGTTTGAACAACATATGGTGGGACATGAACATTGCTCGACTGAGAAGCTTACTGAAACCGTTGAAGTGCGCGTATTGATTCACGTAGAGCTTTGAGTTTCTTGTGAGCAGGCAGTTCAAATTCCTTGTAACCAATATGAAATAAAAACGTTAATATCTTCGTTAGGAGTTGGTTTAAGTAATTTTCGTTATGCGAATCGTGCTCTTCGTGAAATTCTGACTAGGAAACATGTATCAGAATGCTTAAATTCGTATCTTGTCTAGTGGTCCATTGTTTTCAATGGAATTCGGCTGACATGACTAGTTCACATGGAGTACCTATAACTGCCATCCTCAGCAAATACGCCGTAACTCCATTTTAGATTTTGTCAGCATTTTATTGACAAAATGTTCCATTACTGGAAAACCAACGACCACTTCCCTGGTAAAAATTGGCGATAATAGCTGCGTTTCAAAATACCATAGGAATTCTTACAGCCGGCCAAAGAAGGCTACAGAAAATCATATAGCTGGCTGTAGAATGCGGAAAAAATCATACGGCCGGGCTATACGAAGCGATAAAAAATTATGCAGTCGGGCTGTAGTTCCTATCGCCGGGCTTTACACTTTATCGCCTGACTGTTGCTTTTTCGCCATCGATTATAAAAGGCTACAAGAAATTGTGTAGAAATTCGTGTGCTTTGGAAATCATTAAGTTTGATATGGAACCATCTTGATATTTACAAAACACACATTATATTTTCCTTTAATACATATTTTTTTTCATCAATTAAAATGAGAATATTCCATACAGGATGTGCAAACATTTGAAAATCATGAGTTGAATAAGGCTGACTCCGCCACAGATTAAATATTAGAGCCTAACACAAAAGCGGAGCGGCGACGCACTGGCGCCTACAAACCTAACAAGGATACTTCACGCATTGCGCAACGCGTGAAGTATCCCTGTTAGGTTTGTAGGCGCCAATGCGTGTTTTGCGCTGGCTGCCCACCTGCCACGGCGCTTGAAGCAACTATTTCACACCAGAGGTATTGCACAGTATCATTCGAAACTGAAGGCGCTCTAATATATTAGTAATGGCAGGCATATCCATCAAAAGTACGGAGCTTTCCTCGCAAAATAAATCAAGATACTACGGCCCAAAAAGAGAGCAGTATTCCAAAAACTCACTAAGTCCTAGCATCCGTAATTAGTAACGTTTAGCATACACTTTATCGCCTGGCTGTTGCTTAGTCGCCATCGGCTATAAAAGGCTATAAGAAATTGTGTAGCCGGCTATAGAAGCTATTGGAAATCTTACAGCCGGCTGTAGGTCTATGGTATTTTGGAACACAGATTCTACTGCCAATTTTTACCATGGTAACCCTTCTTAATGGGTCAATTGCGCTGGTCATAGAATTGCGTTTTGATGCTCGCTTCCTGTAAATTAGCTCAATATAATAAGATCCGTTTAAACAGCAACTTTACATTAACCGAGATATCGTCCTTTGAAAAGTCAGGTTTTTAACGTCATCAACTGCGGTAGTGACACCCTCGGTTTCTTTCACCTTGTTTCCATCCAAGTCTCACGTTGAATAACTAGTGCACATGTGTGTCTCTCTGACTGATAAAATGAAGGTGGAAGAAACCAAGTTTGTCACTACCGCGGTGGATGACATAAAAAATCGAGTTCCTTAAAGCGCAATATCTCGGTTAATATTGAACGTAGAAAGTGGCCATATGGACGCATCTTAATATTTTTGGCTGATCTACCAGCATCAAGCATCAAAACACGATTCTGTGACCAGCACCACTGACCCATTGAGCCATTTTCTGCAATGAGGAACTTCACTTTCAGGGTCAGTTTAGCAACAACGTATGTACCATTAGTTTCCCTATTCACATAAATGTGTTTACAGATGAGCCAGAAATTGTAATTCCCAATTGCAAAACGTATTCCGATTTACTCTCGTAGTCCAATTTAAATATAACGAAAGAGAGAGTTTTCGGAACGTTATTCCAAACGCAAAGAATGGATGTTTAAAATAACAATTCCTTTCTAGTTAACTGTATAGCTTTGGAATGATGCAAACCAATTCCTATCTTGTTAACGGTAGATCTGCAAAATAATGCATCTCCAAAGTAGAGAGTGCAGACAGCTCCAGAGTGCACAGTCCGCTATCGGTAACTGCCCACAGAGTTCCAACCGGTTTCACTACTCGACAGGTGGTGCCGCCGCGCGCCGGGTCGCATAATACGGAAACTTCGACAACGTACAGAGACTGTACCGCACTGAGTGCCTTGCCCATTACGATATTGTTCATTGACGAGGCGTGAATGATCGATTATCGATATTTCCCCATTAGAAGCTATGGTGAAGAACCGATTATTAAGGTGTTCGTTTCAAACACCCTGTTTATCGATCCTTTTGCATACGTTTCAATGACAGATCTATCGGTATATTGCAAAGCACGCCACGCCACTAAATTATTTGTTCTGGTTCACTACACGGGTTCTTGCCATTGAGGCAAGCATCTTCAAGGAACAAGGTGATAGTAGACGAACCGAGACGGAACACTCTTTGACACTGAAAAAAAAATATGGTAGATTTTACAATAATCTGATACAGAGATGCGAGTATGTTAATAACCACAAGACTCTATGGTAGCATTTACCATATTCTGGTAAGAATTACTTGATTTCTGGTAAATAATACTATAATTCTGGTTATTTTCACTCATTAGGATCACTGTGTCAAAAATCAAGTAGACTCAGAGTAAATGGTACCATACTTTTTTTTTCAGAAGAGGCGTGCGGTGTATGAGGGTTAGGATTTAAATGGATCACTAGACAAGGTACGAATTTAAGCATTCTGATACATGTTTTTAATTAGAATTTCACGTAGAACACGATTCTTGCATTGCAAATTACTGGAATCAACTCCGGACTAAGATATTAATGTTTTTATTTTCCATTGGTTGCGGGAATTTTGAATTGCCCGCGGTCACAAGCAACTGAATTCTCTACGTGAGTCAAATCGTGCCTAACAACAGTTTTGGCAGGCTTCCCAATCGAACGTTCTTCCTTTCTTACCCTTTATCATTCAAAGTGTGAACAATTCGCTATAGCTGAGCCACAGCGTTAATACTGCGGTTGCCAGATTTTTATATCGCAGAGATTGCCATGGTAAAGTTTAGTGTGCAATATGACCCATATAGACCACTGTGTTTTCATGAGCGATAGGCTTGAATTTACGCGTCAAAGAACATTAAATATCCCAGTTAGGAGTTATTTTCAGTAACATTTGTTGAGCAAATCGTATTCAAAAAGAAATTTTGGTCAGGAAACATGTATCAGAATGCTCAACTTCGTACCTTGTCTAGGGGACCATTCATTAGATTGCAAGACAGTCATGAGTTTCGGAAAAGATATGAGGTTTTTTTTTTATTAGAGACATGGGTGGAATCAGGGGAAGCCCTCTCTCCCCCCCCCCAGGAATGTACCTAGCTTCTCCCAAGAATTTTCAGGCATCATTTGCTATCTAAGTGCGTGACATATTTTTCATCTCAGAAATTGCAATGGGGTCAATGTTTCGGTGAGAATTGCTCAAACTCCCTCCTAAAACGACCCAACTTTTCAGAATATCCGGAAAGGGCCTCCCTAGAATCACCTTTTAAGGTAGAAGAGTCCCCTCTTTCTTAGTGATCCTTTTGGTGATGTGCCCCCCCTCCCCATACTCTTATTGAAAAGGTACCTTTCCGCCTTCCCCACGATTGTTTAAAAAAAGTTAGTTGGTCTTAAGAAGACAAAAAAAGAGAAAAAAAAGACTCGTAAAAGGCTCTGTATGCGTAACATATCACATCAGAGAGGAAAGGAATGAGGAGAAAGTTACCGTAGTTTAATAGTTTAGAATACGCAAAATCTTAATGACATTTATTTACGTGATATTTTTATAAAATAAGCGTGACAACGAAGAGAATAAATAAATTACTGCCTATCAGAAATCATTCATCTGGCGACGAAGTGTGATACATTTTCAGTTCGCCTTCAATTGCAGAAGATACAATCTCGCACACGCCAAAGTTCGTTAAGATGCATCCAAATAAATAGCTACAAACCAATGCATAACCATTGAAGGAGCGTGTTAGTTTTCTTGTAATCAGGGATTTGAACGCATCATCAAAGTTTTAGATCCTTGCTTCATACTTTTTAATTTCTGGATGCATATCTTGTGATGAATGCAGGTTGAAATTTATTAATGAAAGGGAGTTTCTCTGATACATAATATTTCGATTTCTGTAAACATATTATGTTTAATTCTGAGACGTTAAACAATTTAATCTGAGTATTTAAATAAAAGCTAATAAAATGGACTTTTTCACGGAATTCAGATAGTATTTTTCAAAATAATAATCAAAATACCAATCAGTTTTAACTCATATTACCTTCCATTATCTCGATATGGGAAAATTTGTACACCGGTCAAAAAGCAGCGAAACGTCAAATTAACAAGGCCAACTTCTGATTCTTGAAATTACACCTCCGCACTGCAGGAAATTTTAAAATTATTAACTAAGGTTAGGCTAGTGAAGTTTTTCACCATTCATATAAGTGCCACAAGTAAGTGGTCACTCTAAGCCTCCTTAGTTGTCAGCAATTTAGTAACATGTTGATGACAATTCCATCACCATTTTCAATTAACAATTCCAACTGATAAGTTTTTCATTTTTTTTTTTTTTTGCAGATCAACACAACCTCATCAACGCTGCCAGTGGTTATTTAGACGCTTCCTCTTTCTACACGAAGGAGCTGATAGAGGTCAACAAAGATAATGGCCATATCGATCTCAACTCATGCCGCCAGTGAGTATTAGTTGCACTGATGCAAGTTCATCGATTCAGAGATACATTTCCAAAAGTTGCGCAGTTTATAAACGGAAATCATAGCAACACGCACAGGAACTTGAAATTTTGAGAATATATTTATTCATCGTTGAGGGTAAATTCACAAATAGTTTAAAAGACGATGGGTAGTTTAGTTCTTTATCAAAATGATTAAGCATGACTTAGCCTTCTCATCTAATTTTCCACTCATGCTCGTAAAAATAAACCGTATTTCAATGTGTAATTGTCACTTGTTTACGACAGATAACGTGAATGAAATTTGATTCTTTGATTCTGAAGATTTAGTTCCGAATTTCCTATTGTTTTCATATACGAGGAGTAGAGACTCATTTGACAAGAGCCGCAGAAACCCGCGCTCGCTTCTGATTGGTGACGGATGACATCATTCGGCTCGGCGCAAAACCGGGGTGTTTTAAATCTATGAAAAAGTTACACTTTTTGAACTACATATTTCTCGGTTTCTGAGTTACTTTTTCGCGTTTTGAATGTGCGCATCGTATTCTGCGCTTCATTTACCTTTGAAAAAATGTATTCGCAAGTCAAAATTCGTCCAAGGTTTAGTGACCCGTCAGTCCACTTCCGACTGATTCGATCTTTGCATCAGCACCTGTTTTTGCGTTAAAAGTCTTACCATCCCACACTTCAGTGACAGGCAAGCGCGTCTCTCTTTGCACAGTTTTGCTTTCTAGACGTGCGCTCTGACGTAATTCTCATGCTAATTACTCATGGCTCGACATCATAACAGTCCCGAATGTTGCCAGTTTTCCGACTAAAATTGGCTACACTAAAAAAATATTTATGCAAAACGTTCTAAAAATGGTTAAAATGGAGTTGTTTGTCAAATGAAATGTAACAATTGCAGTTTATGCTGTAATCGATATATTTCGTTGTTTCTTTTTATTCCTGGAGAGTCTCTGACAGTTTGAAAACAAAGTATAAACAGGACGAAATGGAATCGGACAAAATTCAATTGAGAGGCGGGAGTACATTAGATGCAATAAAATGTGTAACTTTGACGAGGTAACCGGATCAGGCAGCAAGATGAAGCGCCAAATTTGTGGGAAAAACGGTTGTCATGGTAACATAATGGTCAATGAAACGTAATCTCGTTTTAAAATCAAAAGGAAATCAACATTGTAAAGAGGTAATCTGATTGACTAAAATTTTGCAGTTGTCAAGCAATTTGCAAATACTTCCGATTTCAACCAACTTTCATTCACATCAAGTAAACTCAAGAGCATACATTCTTGATGTAGATGTTATGATATTGTCAGAATTAATAAATGAAAAAAAAAAAACAAAAAAGAGAAGTTTCAATCAGATACACATAACTCCAGAATAAGCGTCAATATTTTCATCATCCTAGGTTAATGACAGCTTTTGGATTTTAAGACAAAACTATGATTAAATCGCCGGCAAATTTTTTTTTTTTTTGGTTTTCTGCGGTGGCTTGGCAACCATGGGAATATTAGCGAGTAGGCGACCTTCCCGTCATTCCGAATAAAATTGGTGATTGGAAGCTGGCATAATGATGGACGTATCCCCCACCCCCACCACCACCCCCGCTAGCTTCATTAGGCGATGAGGAGAAAACAATTAGTCGCTGAAATTAGCACCTATTTTGGGGCTGTTGTCAAAGAAAGTGAAAGTCTCATCATGTTTTATGGAAGCCGGAGAACTTCGAGAGAGCGCCACGAAAGAGAGCACTTCAAAGCTGATGAGATACAGGAAGAAATACCGTGGAAAAAAGTTGAAGCCCATACTTTTTGTCAGATAATCGAGCTAAAATTTAATGCATGTTAGGTTGATCGTTTCTCAGCCTGCCTCAAACATTGATTAATTGGACTTCTTGCAAGAGGAGCCACCATTTTTGACTCATTCATAGAATCCCCGATTTGCATAGGGAAACTATTGGCACTTATGATGTTTTTCGAATGAGCAAGAAATAGTTGTTCCTTGATACAACTTTTAACTAAGCGCATCCTATTTCATAAACGAATGAACGTAAATGAAAAAATTTAAGGGGGTCCGAGGTCGCGAAAGTAAACATTGGTCGGAATTTCTTAGAAGATCAAGATTTTATAGCACGACAGTGTAGTTACATTATTTAATGTAGAAAACAGCAAACTGTTACTTTAATTCTTGTACCTTTCCCATTACCAGATGTTTTACAATTACACTGTTTATGTCTTTTTTAGATGTTCCGAGCCTGGGATCGGCAGTGTTTACTCAATTTTAGTCTTGGAGCACAACAGACTGGTCAAAGCGTTGACGCCTCTGAATCCTCATTGGACGCCTCAAACGCTGTTTGAGGAAGCTAGGAGGATCGTTATTGCTGAAATCCAACACATCACTTACAACGAATTTCTGCCTTTGATTCTCGGAGAGGTAAATTAAAATACCTAATTCGATCATTTAATCACGCGTGAAAATTTCTGAAATAAAATTTCTACCTGAACTTTTTTTTACCAATAGTCTCCTTGCTTAAGATTAGTTTAAAAGTTTTCGTGATCTTGAAATTCAAGAATCCATTGAAAGTGATTACATTTTCGTGGAGAGACCATAGCAATAATTTTTCTCAATTCAGGAGGTACGTAAATAGGCAGCAATATATTACGGAATCAGATAATCATCTGCGTGTTACACATGTTTGACATCACCACGTATATGATCTCCTTATTATGTATTCAGGTCTTGACTGAGGAATGGAATTTGAAGCCCCTTACAAAAGGAAGATTTAACGAATACTCCAGCTCGAACAGGGCCGGTACCTGTTACAGTGTAGCCAACACTGTTCTTCAGATTTTGCCTTCTCTCACTCCGTACGACCTTGTGAGTATTTTGAAATATGATTTATTGCATTTTTATGGTGAGCTTATCTTATGTGTTGCGTTGCTCGTTAGTTTTTTTTGCAAATGTCTTTTAAGCAGAAAATATAATGGTTTCGTTGGAATTCTTCCAAGGGCCAAGTAAATATTAACACACATTTTTCCCGAAGGAGAATTTTCAGATTTTTTGTGAGGATTTGATTTTTAGGCTGTCTTACTCACGTAGCCTTCGAAGCACCATTGCCATTAAGACAAACTGATACAAGTACAATATGAAAATAGAGCAAGGGAAAAGACGCGCGTTCACAACGGCGCAGATGTACAACTATTCGTGCTTGATGGATGTCCATGTTGCATCTGCGAAATTGAAGGCGCGATGGCGCGAGGCGTCAACTCTCATTCCTCCGCACTCTGGAGTGAGTGCCAATGCGTTGGGGTCTCATCCGGTTCATGACGGGTCACTTAATTTTTTTTCGATTTTAGATACGCTGACTTTTTTTTACGGAGTTCAGATTTACAAAGGCAGAAGAAATATTCTTACGAATGGTCATGAAAAATTGAAAAAATTAGCAGCGAGGCAAATCGTACACTCGTGAAAATCTATTGCAAGGGATAAAGGTATTCTAATCAATTTCTATTGCTTTTATAGTTGATGGATGACGTAACAAATGGACCAGCATCGAATTATATATCCAGGGTATCGATGACATTATCTAAAATGTTGAACAACACCGCGGAAAAGCCAAACCTCCAATTCGCATCAGGTAATGGAGACCTCATCTTTATAACTAGCTCAGTTTGATGAATCGGCACTTCTTCGTATAGAAACTGTGCAAAAATTTATCATACCTAAAGTTAAGTTTTCAAAGTTCCTTGCTGGAGAAACATTTTTTAAAACCCCATTGAGGTCTCCCTTCCAGCCCTCTCACCATAGCGCTTCGTAAAGTAATCCTCTTTTACCAATCGGACGTTTGATGAATATCGTTTATCAGAAAAATTGAGATGCTCTCATGACATGAGAATGACTGATTTGTCTAAAATGTAACTTTGATGGACAGTAAAATCACCGAAAAATGTGCAGTGTACTTTGATAACTGTTAAAATTTCTAGAAAGTTTAATTTTACCGACTGAAAAACTTTGGTTCATGGGGAGTGTGTTCCTTGCTGATCGAAGTTTCATGGTAAGGTGTGCCAACACCTCATTCATTTGAACTGAATTTCGGTTTGGCGAACTTAATTAAGTTTTTTCAACCGCTAGAGACAATTTTTACGACTAAGCCCTTAGTTTTTCAAAGCAAAATGAAGATGCTGCATGTATGAGGAATTTACGATTTGACTGTTGATTCTTACGTAAAAGTTCGCGAGAAACCCGATGGTGCCGCACTGGTTTTCTCTGAAATCAACTCCAAAGCTCAAAAAAAGCTCTCAAGTCGAGGCTAAAATGGAGGGGATATCCCACGCTATCCTGAGAGTCCACCTCTACATCAAGACAAACTCTCCATGCAAAGATAGGGAGCAAATACATTGACAGGGCTGCCACATTATTTGGGGACTCTAAGACTGAAAACACGGCAACTCTATTTGCTCCCTATCTTTGCATGGAGAGTTTGTCTTGATGTAGAGGTGGACTCTCAGGATGGCGTGGGATATCCCCTCCATTTTAGCCTCGACTTGAGAGCTTTTTTTGAGCTTGGGAGTTGATTTCAGAGAAAACCAGTGGAACCATCGTGTTTCTCGCGAACTTTTACGTAAGAATCAATAGTAAAATCACAAATTCCTCACACATGCGACATCTCCATTTTTGGGACTGAGAACTTAGTTTTTCAAACTAACCGTCCATTGAACTTCTCAGTAAGCGCTGTTGATTTTACATAGGAATATTTCGAAATTTAATGGTTTTATTGTGTGGGGTTTCAGCGGAGGACATCACACGTATGATAATCGAGCGGCGGTCGAACCATCTACCCGGATACGTGAAATGGCTGAGCACTTGCTCGAACGAATCCGAGACACTGGCGACGAGCTTCGACCAATTGACTCACATGAGCCGGGATAATCAACAGTTCTTGGAACAAATGTACAAGTAAGTACCGGACCTCGGACCTCGGTGTCATCTTCGGCATACACAGCACGCTAAATACTCCTGCGAGATCAGGCCAATCTGTAGTTGCAAAAATGCCGAGGATAATCTTCAATTATCCTTAATTGTCACATTTATTGAACGGTTATGCTGGCTTATCTGACAATATGCGTTTATTGTGCAGTTGTTAAACTTCATCCTCCCAGATCGCAGACTCCTAGCATACGTCAGATGATGAGAAAAGTGAAGAGAATATTATGGAAGAAGAAAAGAAGATAAAGGAAGAGTAAGAAAAGGAAAAGTTGAAGAAAAAAAGGATAAGAAATTATTAAATGTAAACCTTTCCTTCTTTCTTATGCTCTTCCATTTTCCGCCCCTTCTCTACCCCCATTTTCTTCTCTCTTCTTCTTCCTCTTTTTCTTCTCCACTCATTTCCCCCTTCTTCTTCACCTTCTTCTTCATCTTCTTTTCTCTTCATCCACTTTTTTCCCGTCTTTTGCTTCTTTTCCGTTTTCTGATATCTAGTGCGTCCTTACCTGACGTATGTTAGGACAGTCCTAGCTATTGCCTGGATTAATTTTGTCAAAGCATTCCATAAAATTTTGATGCCCTCATGTGGCTTGACCTAAGTTGATTAGTCTCGACATTTTTGGATGAGGGCGGAGAGAGTACAACACTTTCAAATCTTCCCCTGGTAAAAATTGGCGATAAGAGTTGCGTTTCAAAATACCATAGGAATTCTTATAGCCGACTAAAGAAGGCTACAGAAAATCATATAGCTGGCTGTAGAATGCGGAGAAAATCATACGGCCGGGCTGTGCGAAGCGATAAAAAATTATGCAGCCGGGCTATAGTTCCTATCGCCGGGCTTTACACCTTATCGCCTGGCTGTTGCCTTTCGCCATCGATTATAAAAGGCTATAAGAAATTGTGTAGAAATTCGTGTGCTTTGGAAATCATTAAGTTTGATACGGAACCACCTTAATATTTACAAAACACACATTATATTTTCCTTTAATACATATTGTTTTTCATCAACTAAAATGAGAATAATCCATACAGGATGTGCAAACATTTCAAAATCATGAGTTGAATAACGCTGACTCCGCCAGATTAAATATTAGAGCTAAACACGTAGCGGAGCGGCGCCTACAAACCTAACAGGGATACTTCACGCATTGCGCAACGCGTGAGGTATCCCTGTTAGGTTTGTAGGCGCCAATGCGCGTTTCGCGCTGGCTGCTCGCCTGCCGTGCCGCAGCGTGCCACGGCGCTTGAAGCAACTATTTCACACCAGAGGCATTGCACAGTATCATACGAAACTGAAGGCGCTCTAATATATTAGTAATGGCAGGCATCCATCAAAAGTACGGAGCTTTCCTCGCAAAATAAATCAAGATACTACGGCCCAAAAAGAGAGCAGTATTCCAAAAACTCACTAAGTCCTAGCATCCGTAATTAGTAACGTTTAGCATACACTTTATCGCCTGGCTGTTGCTTAATCGCCATCGGCTATAAAAGGCTATAAGAAATTGTGTAGCCGGCTGGAAGCTATTGGAAATCTTACAGCCGGCTGTAGGTCTATGGTATTTTGGAACACAGGTTCTACTACCAATTTTTTACTAGGGTCATGCTCAATTGCTTACTCACTCACAGGGATGATTTTGACAAGAGCAAAGTTTTTTTTTGGCAATTAACGAGGATCATACATGAGGATCACGACAACAAGTGGCATCTCATTTTTTTACAAGAATGATGATTACTTGACTGACGTTTTGTTTTCCGCAGGAACGGTGTAAATGTAATCGATCTAATTGCTGGTGGAGTCTTGGAACAGCCTGTAACTGGCGGAATCGTAGGTCCAACTTTTGGTTGCCTTTTGGCGAAGCAATTCACCATTCTTCGAGACAGTGACAGGTTTTGGTATGAGAATGATCTACCACCAGCAACTTTTAGCAAAGGTAATTTCCTATCGATTTTGGCAAAATTTTCACAATTTTGAAAAGGTCCGTCCAAACAGCAACTTTCTACATTGAACGTTAACCGAAATATCGTCCTATGAAAAGTTAACTTTTTGACGTCATTCACCGCGGTAGTGCATTCCATGGTATGCACTACCGCGGTGGGTGACGTCATAATCGAGTTTTTAAAGGCGCGATGTCTCGGTTAATATTCAACGTAGAATGTTGCCGCTTTTGCAGGTATTATTTTTAGTTGATCTGCAAGAATAAAGAATCAAAACACGGTTCTGTGAACAGCAGAACTGACCCATTATCACCACGGTCTCTGCATATTGGCTCAATTTTAAAAAAAAACGCTGAAAGTTTGGTTTGGATTATTAAATAATTTGGATTGCATTTTGCGAAAATGAACCAGGAGCTTTGCAATGTTGCTAAGATTGTGCAACTTCTGTTGTCTTGGAAGAAAAACCTGATTATCCATCAACAGTCTCTATTTTACTCGCTAAAAATTGTAATTTTAAAACAAAATTACCATGTAAATTTAATATTTTTTCATGGTTTCAGTAATTTTATTGCAAAGGATGAAAATGCACAATCTTAGCATCATTGCAATTCTTCTGGTTCCTTTTTGCAAAAAGCAATCCATTTGATAATGGAAAAAACCGTAGGATGTCTTGCGAAATTTCAATCTTAAAATATATTACCTAATTTCGACTGCCCTCACAAGATGTATCCCTCATCCTGCTTCTTCATTCCGTTCACAGCCCAGCTGACAGAGCTTCGAAAGGTGACTATGAGCAACTTGATCTGCGCCAACATCCCGAACATGTCCGCCGTCCAGCCGCGAGCTTTCGTGCGCCCGGATACCTACTTGTGAGTCCATCAATTGTTTTGTAACAAGTTCCACGTGCGTCGCGCATCTGCAGGACCAGATCCGCGAAAGTATATTAACGCGGATGGCAATTCCATAAAGCGAGAACCGGAATGCGTTGTAGGTCTCTGTGCCTTGCGTAACCGACATTTGCCTCGAACTCCCCGTCCGCGCCGTAAATAACGCGGTTGCGCTTACGGAAAGTTGAACGATACGGAGTAATGGTTTGCGTAAAGCAGAGATATCCAGATGCGCTTGAGAGTGTGACATTCTGGAAACTACGCACCAATGATTGTTTAAAGCGTGAAAGTTTTTTTTGGGAATCAGCACTGAAATATTTTTTTTATCTTGACCTATGCTGAGAATATTATTTTTACAAACAAGAAAATTTTATAGATTGCTGCAAAAACTGCTCTGGCAACATTCAACGGTTACGGTTGTCATTACGGAAAAAATAAAAATGTTTTCAAAGAAAATTATTATGATGAAACCCAAAGATCTCTTTGCACTAAAAAGATGGAGAGAGGTAACAATTGGACGTATTTCTACCAAGTGGAGCTCTGTGGTTGAAGACATGAGACATGAGCTTTGAGACCCATATATATGCATGACAGGGCTCACGTCATAATGCACATTGTTCCGTTTGGTAGAAATACGTCCAATTTATGAAAGGATTGCTCCCAATTTACTTTTTTTTATATCATATTTTAATGGCTTTTCAATTATTTTAATATCATTTTTTTTAAACTGAAGTCTTTACCCAGTAGAAAAAACCAGTCATAAATTAGGCCGATTAGGCAGACTTAGTTTCACGAGACAGTTTGAATCAATGTCATTCCTATTCAACGTTCTATCCTCACACACATCTAACTAAAATCAGTGATAGATATCATAGTAACGTCGGACGGATATCAGAGTGACAGCATAGATTGACATCAATAAGCAGCTGGCACCGGAAAGATTAGTTGGATCGCATTTAGCAAAACCAGCGCGATTACAGTGTTTTCAAAATCGTGCAACTTCCTCTTTTCTTTGATAAAATACTTAAAATTTGTACATTTTTAAAATTTACACAAACTTTTTTTTTGAAAATTGACAATTTTTTGGTGGGAAGCAAAAACTATTTGCTATTCTGGGAGATTCTTTAGATAATCATAAAGAAGCAACATTTTTACAACACTGCAATGGCGCAAGTTCTTTTTAACTAAATGCGATCCAGTTTCAAAAAATATTTTCAATCAGTCTGGTCAGTCCGTCTCATTTTCTAGAACGGTTTTTTTTGTTATATAAATATAAACTATATTCATACTCTGAAGAGTGAATAGTCATTTCAGACCCTCGCCATATTTTTATTTTGGAAGTTACACAAAACACGCTTATATTTTTGTTCCTAGGAACGCCCAAATCGCGTGCGACCAGTACCCGCTCTTAGAGGTCGACGCATGGCTCCACAAAGAATCAGATGAGGATCTACAACTGACTCCGCAGGCGATTAAGCAGGCAATCAGAGCTGCAGAACTTGACGTCAGCAGACGCATGGCAACTGAATTTATGGCTTACTCTAAAAGTAAGATTTTATATGAAATAAATAGCTTTTTATTTGGAAAGGGAATGACTCTCTTGGCAGGAAATTTCATAATAAGCAATCGAATAAAAAATTGAGCTATTAGTCGATTTTCATTGCAATGACATGCAAACTCAGGACATGGTTCAATAAAAACAACAATGTGCAAGAGGATGTTTATACTTATACGAATTTTACCTCAACAGCTCAGTTTTTTATTTGATATTATTATGAGTAGTCGAAAACTGAATAACTTTATTCTGAGCTAGACACCTTAATATTATCTTGCGACTGCTTGGTCGCGACTAAGATTTGAAATGTGTTCTGTAAAGCTTTATCACTGACGTTTGCGGAAGACTTACAGAAAAACTGTTGGGCTTCACTACACGAAAATTTCAGTTATATTTCTTGTGGTTGCACTTAAAAATCAGCAAACTTTCAGACGAAAATTGCACAGACGCATTGATAGAAAAAATGAAGAATGGAAATTCAAAACATTGATAAGCAAAATCAAGTGTTGGTGAAGATTGTTTACCTTAGTCATATGGAATACTCGTTGGGAAATTTTATTTAAAATTTGGTTTTCTTTTCATAAAAACAAATGTTTTTACGTTTATCATGAAGCAAAAACGAATATGAACCAAAACTAAATGGTAGTCAACGATCGGCGAGACAAAGAGACTAAAGGTGATCTGCCGGCTGGAATCTTCAAGCGACTTTTTTCCTAACCTTTCGTTTAAGTCTCCGGCATTTTCCTTGCATTACGCGAGTTTTCTCTTGAAATTAGGGGGACAATAGTTATGCCAACGAGGATACCTTAGGTGCTGACGCCCTTCTGAAATAATTATAGAAACAATTTTTAAATTAAGTAGATTTATTTAACAGTGACTCAGTTTTCAGTTGTATAAATTAATTTAAAAAAATGATCTTTTTAGGATGAGTAAGTAAATACAAAGCGAGCTGTACTGTAACAACGGAATATGGCACCGTAAGAATATCTTAAAGGAGCCCCGGACAACTAATTTCCAAGCATAGATAATATTTATGTACATGAAATTTTTTGTAAGAACTTTAATTAACTTTTTTTTATTTTAATCATGTTTTTTCTTTTTTTATTTACAGATAATCATGTAGACCCGAAATCTCCAATTGGTATCCAAGCTGCTTTTTCGAAACCAAAAGAAGAATCCTTGAGACTGGCTAATCAATCAATCTTGCTTGAGTATGCCTCAAGAGAAATCATGAATACCCTTGAGAAGTAAGGAGGATTATCTCAAATATTCTTTCAAAATTGAAATTTTTGCAACTACAATGGGCGCACATCAGTTTTAGAAACGTTTTTTAAATCTCTCCCTCACCCTCCCATCAAACCCGCTGCATGATACCTTATAGTTAGACGCAGCAGACAACCCCATTTTTTAACCCCTGCTCATCTGATCGGTTCCGGCAGGGCCAATGAAGCCGCTTCATGCGTATCGTATCCTGGACAAGACAAAGTAGAGCGCCTTCAATTATCTCTAATGCAATACGCATACCCATTGAACACGAATAGTTGCAAGTTGCACCCTTACGTTTTTATCATCAACACATTTGCCAAGCATAGCTCTCAGTGGCCAAGATACTCACTTCTTGGTGCTACCTCGGCTATTTTGTCCCTCTGATTAATAATGGAATTTAGGGATTACATTTTTGCTTTTATTACAAAGATTTTACCGATTTTTGAAACAAAGATTATTCTCTTAAAAGCAAGAAGTAAAATCATAGTTTTTTTTTAGCAGACGCGATGCAAAGATTTTGCAGAAAGGAGATAACACATCGCTTGAATATCAAAAGTTTACATACTTATACATTAGCTACATGTGAATAGCACGTAGAATCAAAAAGCGTTGATTCTCGCAGCCTCACCTTCTGCCTAAAGGACAAATAACGCGCACAATGTGCTCAGGATCAACATTTTTATGTTCGTGATAAAAATAAAATTCCTACAATGATAAACTGAATTCAACTTTTTAAGCTCACCATATCGCCGCACCCTTAACATTCATAATGTTTAGAGTATGTATTTAGTTTCCTAACCTCTTATCTTACGTTTCTCTCGCAGATCGATGCGGAAAAGAAGGAGGCGACAAACCATCGACGGAGACAATTTCCTCAGCTTTTCTGACCCAACCGTGAAAGAATTTCTGCAGGAGATTGACCTCACCGGCGTAATACCACCCTCAGGAGGTCACCGAGGTCATGACCCAGTCAACGACTGTCCATTAGAAACAGAAGCGTGTGACCCGACCTACCCTTACAGAAGTATCTCTGGGTATTGTAACAACCTGGAAAGACCTAACATGGGAAAAGCTATCACTACATTTGCTAGACTTTTGCCACCAGTTTACGAAGATGGTAATTCAATTTTATGAGAGTAGGGATTACGCCTTCTGACCCTTTTACTGGTCCAACCCCCCGAAGCGCTTCGCGCCTCAGACATTGTGCGTCACATGTTGCTCTTGTGACTTTCTATTGTAAAAATATGATACTTGTTTTCATGATCTTGGTATATTCTGGAAATTGCCTTGTTTTTGGCCGTGAAAGTCATTTTCTGTGTCAAATTACTTGACCATATTAGCCTAAAAAAATAGACCTCGAACCGTTTATGGTCGCTTTAACTTTTGTAAAGACATCATATCATGTGATTGGATACAAATTACACAATTTGCCAGTTGAATTTTCATAATGGTGCTAAATCTTGCTGCTCTCGAAAATCTGTAAGAGTTAGTTCTCAAATAAGAAAAATTGGAAAAAAAATCATTACTTTATAAATGAGCGTCACAAAACCAAATTCTAAGTCCATAGTAAATCTACCTTTTAAATTCTAGAAATATGATACAATATTAGAGATGCAAATTGACAGGAAAAGTTCCTTAAAATGATTTTTTTAATACTTTGTTTTTCTTCACCCCAATCGTATTCTTTTAATACCACCCCTGACGTAATCTAAAATTACTGACTGAAAAATTGTACCTTACACAGCCCTGAACCAACGAAAGTATTTTTCTTTTAATTGGAAAACCAACTCAGGCTGAACATGTGTTTTTATCTTTTAGGCATTTCATCCCCTCGACAAACCTCAGTGACAGGACAACCCCTGCCCACACCTCGTCTAGTCAGTGCCATGTGCCATCCCGATGTGAGCCATCTCCATGGACGCTACACCTTGATGGTTATGCAGTTTGCTCAGTTCGTTGATCACGATCTTACTTTCACGCCGAACATTAGAGGTGCGTATCTTCATTTGAACTTGAGTATTGATTTGAAAGGAGGACGAGAAATGCTTATGGGACACCTCTTTCGAAAATAGTAAATTTTTTCCCGAGACGACTACTATTGATAAAACCCAATCAGAATATTTCCCCCCGAAAAATATGGCTAGTTTTTTTCATTGAATATTTTAGATGAATTCGGCTTCATTTTGCAATGAAGAGCTACAATATCTGGCACGGTTTAGGAACAACGTTTGTACCATTTGTATTCCTTTGCTCATACGTTTTTTTACGGACGAACCAGAAGTTTTATTTCCTAATTGCAAAATTAAGTCCAATTAAACTTGAAGTACCTCCTGTTTCTCAGTATTTAATTGATCCATTCCATTCTGCTACACTCAATCAAAACCAACTCTCTCCCCGAAAATGTTATTGCAGTAAAAGTTCTTATCACTCAAAAACGATTGAAGAATCAATTACTTAACCGCCCATTTTAAAAATACAGGCTCACAAAGTTCAAGTGACGTGACGTAGAGTTGACAGGAGAAACCCTAACTCCATGTTTTCGCGCTAGGGCTTAAAGAGAAAAGGCCAAACTCGTTCATCGAAACAGAATTTCTGAAGGATTATTACGTCTCACAGCCAATAGCCTGTGTCACACTATCAAAATACTCCATCCAACTATCAAGGTAAGTGTTGTGATTGGTTCAAGTCACCGTATAAGCCAATCACAACACCTCACCTTGATATTTTGATGGTTAGGTTTGATAGCGTGACACAGTGACACAGGCTCTCTTCAATCTAATCATACATTTGATGGGCATGGAGGACAAGGCGCATAAGTCCGGTTTTTGCTACTTCGAGAAATACGTGTTTGAAGTTTCAAAATAACATGGATCCTCATGGTGGAAAGAAAGTTCAAATTGACTTCTTGATGCTTAAAAATTGGAATTTGGGAGCGAATTTTTCACAGAATATGCATTAAGACTAGTTTTATTTGAAATAATTAATAACTCAATTTTTTCAAAAACTGCACATATGCGCCTTGTCCTCCAAGCCGCCTCATCCCATCCCATCCCACCTATAATAGTTACCCGACCTATATGTCGTCAATTCTTTCGTTCATGATACCTACCGTTAGATTTACGTTAACTGATTCAAATTTTGTAATTTTGTCCGTTTTCGTCTGATGAAGAACTGTTTAGATTTTTGGTTAATTTGCATTTACCGATTACTTACAAACGGTAATTAACGTACGTGCCCTACATACGCTGTTTTCCACTAATCTGTTTTAATGAAAGCTCCATTCCTTGGTTTCCTTGGTAACCTTTGATTGCTATCAGCTAATGTTTTATTTCAATTTCTTTTTTTCATTTTTTTTGTTTTTTTCTTTTGTTAATAAATCATTGCTAGGTTAGTTTTAATTTTTTTGCCAGCATTTATTCCACCTCCCCCCCCCAGCTCATTTTTTTCCAGCTCCATCACCCTCTCCCCTCAACTCATTTTTCTATCGATTTTATCATTTTTTTATGGCATGTCTTGCTCCCCTACCACCATTTTTTCGGGGTTATAGATATTCCAGCGGCCTCTAGACCCGTGACTCCAGTCACGGGCATTTCGCTAGTTTATAATGTCTACAACACTTTTGAATCAACCAAACCCAGCTCCCATAACAATCCTGCGCCCTCTGATTCCAGGTTTCTTCTCATCGATCCCCGACTGCCGTCCCTGCGACAGCCCTCTGACCGTCCACCCCGAGTGCATGCCGATCCACATCCCGAACGGCGACCCGTTCTATCCACCGGTCAACCCTGCGACCGGTCAGAAGATGTGTCTCCCGTTCATGCGATCCCTCTCGGGACAACAGCGATTGGGCGCCCGCGAGCAGATCAACCAGAACTCCGCCTACCTGGACGCCTCGCAGGTCTACGGCACGACCACGTGCGAGGCCCGCGTCCTTCGCGGCTACAACGGCAGGCTCAACGTCACAGTCCCTATCAACGGTGGAAAGGATCTCCTTCCCAATTCGCCCTCGCACCCTGAATGCAAAGCTGCGTCTGGATACTGTTTCATTGCTGGTTAGTACTGTCAATATACCAACGTATCACAATCAATTACTTTTATAATATTCGTTTACAAATATGTACTGGAGACTGATTCAACCGGAATCATAAGCTTAACGGGACGTATTTCTACCAAATAGAACCATGCGCGGGTGGGAAAGATTGGGTGTGCTCGATAGTTCTCGGGTGGTGAAAATGCATGGGAATTATAAGTCGCTCTTCCTCCACTTTAACTCAAAAGCCCTATCCACAACCACAACGCTCTTTTGCCATACCCACGGCTCATGAGTCCTGCTATCAGTTGGCACATAGTTCCGTTTGCTGAATTTTCAATCCCGTTTTTCAATTTCACCAAAAGAAATCAATAATTGACCACAAATGGAATAAAAAAGTATTGCCGACTTGCAAAATCGCCACTGCTTACAGTCTGCCTTCCATTACTCCTTTTCTTTTATTTTTCTTGAGATTCATGCCCCTCAACTTACTGTTGAGAATAATCAAAAAATGTGTTGTCATGGTGATTGTTTTTTTCTGTACACTTTGTCTGAATATACTTTTGTTTCCCTCTGTCCCTTTTTTATTTCTACAAAGGCCCAGGATGGCTGTAAAGGGATTTGTTTATTCAAGTTTGTGTGTTTATTCAATTGTTTTATTTGTTGTTTATCTCAGACATACAGTTTTATTAAATACCTTTTTTTATCCTTTTTTCATTTCTACACTTTTTCCGGTTTCGAGCTTAAAATGACGGTTTTTTTCAGGTGACGGACGAGCGAGTGAACAACCCGGTCTGACGGTTATTCACACGGTATTCATGCGAGAGCACAACCGGATCGCGGACGCTCTGCACCGGATCAACCCTCACTGGGACGACGAGAAGCTCTACCAAGAGGCCCGAAAAATCCACATCGCCGAGTACCAGCACATCCTATACAACGAGTTCCTCCCCCGAATCCTCGGATGGAACGCCGTCAATCTCTACGGCCTCAAACTCGGGTCCCAGGGATACTTCAAAGGTTAGTTGTTCAGTCTCCAGTCCGTCCATCCACACTCTTAAATAGACTATATTTTGCAATTAGGAGCTACAATTTTCAGCTCACGTTAAAAAGAGCGCTTTTACCATTAATTTCCTTATGCGGATAAGTGCTTTTACAAATGGGACAAAAATTGTAGTTCCTAGTTGCAAAATAAAGTCCGACCCGATCACCCGTATTTCCAAAAATTTGTAATGTGCCCAAAAGTATTCCAAAAAGTATTTGTTCCCTTGGGCGTGCTTTTCTGAAGACATTGAAACGAAGGTGGGGAGAAAAAGAAATGGAAGGGATGGATAGTCAACAAATTTATTGTTCGCAAACTCATTTGTAACAGCATTCTACCCCTATTACTTTAAGACCACCCATTCTGCAGTTTAGGCCTTTTAAGACCATTTTTTTAACCTCAGCACGTATAATTTTACTCATTTATCAGGTGTTATACTTCAGTGTTCCTTTCATTTTCAAAATCTCCAATCTCAAATGATAAAATATTTTAGGGTTGTTCCAACATTAGGCTACAACTGAAAATTCTTGACGTTGTACAACGTCTTTATTACTCAAGAAGTCTTTATTAGGGTCTTACGTGTAAGAAATTTTAATCTTCTACTCTTGAAACACAAATTGCTACCTAAAGAAGCTTTTCTGAGTCTCAAGAAGATTGAATACAGCTGGTCGGATGTCAGACAACAGGCCAAGGATGCAAGCCGATCTTTGGATACAACTCGCTGTCTCTAGAGTCCAAGGGACACAGCAAATCATCGAACTCAAGAATATTAAAGGCTAGGTTGTTCACCTATCTTCATCGGCCTCGTCGATGCTGGGGGTGTCGCCTGCCACTCGTTTCCGATTAATACGGAAAGGTCGTCAGTAAATCTTTTTGGGTTGTGGCACTGTTTATTTGACGTGGTGTCACATTCGAAAAGAGCTGTTGATTGACTGTTCTGTCGTCGAGGATTTCATCGTTGGACCCATCAGAGGACTCAGGAATGCATTGGATCTCTTTTGTCGAACTTCTCTCAATCCATTAGAGGAACCCTGGAATCTCAAGCAGTCCGACCTTCAAAATAATCACCTGATTTTGCCTACTAAGCCTTGAAATCTAGAGAATCTGAGAGCTGAATGTCTGGGAGCTAATTATTAAAGCCATAAGCCTGCCAAAAACTGTTGATTCAAATATTATGATTAAAAATTTTGGAAAATAAAAATAAATTCATATAATAAGATAAGTGGGATTAGCAAAACATAAAGCATGACCGCAAAGATCATCCAACCATCTGACTTCATAAAGTCAATTAAATCTAAGCTGTATTATAATACGCGTAGTTTTTTTTAAAAAATTACATTTTCAGCTGGAAAATGCGTTAAGAAATTATGAGTCAAAAATATGAATTTTCACTTGTTTGGTTTAACAGAGAACCATAAAAAAATTGCAGAAACAGGGCTGGATTCTCAAATAACTCCTAGAAATGAATGAGAAATCTAATATAATTATAATATGATTTTTTTGTATGCTAATATTTCATATTTTGTTCCTTTGAAGTGACGAGATTTAATAATTATTATAATGAGGAATATATTTTGTGAAAGAAGTTATTAAAATATCTCATTATAGATAAGCATTTTTTAGTAGTATGCATCTATCTAAGCTGAACACTCTCCCTCCTTAGTTCTGTATCGATACTAATTTGAGTTAAAATTGTTTACTCTAATTGTAATTTTTGAATTTTATCGGGGTTTTCTCCGCCAAATAGTGTGAACTCAGCACTATTTTTCTACCTTGTTATGTACGGTTTGGGTCACTTTTATGGTGTTTATTCCTCGTTGTTATTCTATTAGTATAGAGTGGTATTTTTAGACTTTTACAATAAAATTAAAATGAGCTTACGTCTAATGAATTTTGTAAATGCACAATGATTATTGTTTTTAAAATTCTCTTTCGTAGTGCTCAGTGTTGTACGATACCTAATTCCATCAAATATTATAGCTTTGAAAGTATATGGTGTAATTTTACTTTTGCTATGAACTTAGAGGTTTTTCAATGTCACACACGCCAACTATTGTAAAATCATTCACCATTCACTGAATTAATCATAGGAGCACACTGTCAATGACCCTCCTGTTTACATAAGTTTTAGTGTAAAAAAACTCATAAATTCTCAATGAAGCTCATTGAAGTTTAATTGTTGTATGCTGGCTCAAATGAAACAAAAAGTAGTCCGAATAACTTATTCTGAATAACTTGAAAACACTACATAGTGACCTTATCCGTAATTCTTAGATTTATTTTAATGGTACTTTAACTGTAAGTACTTCAGAGGCACTTTTTAATTTTCTATTAATTTATTCGAATTTATTTATATTAAGAGTTATAGTAAACTTTTTTAGGGGAAAACCGTTTACTCTGCAAAAATGGGTGCCTAGAGATGCGTCAATAGATGACAACTCCCAAACTTTCTCTGTACAATTTGGATAGATATTTGACAGATTTTCTCACGGCAGCTGAGGTTTCAATAGCCTCCCTCCCCTCCCCCTATTGAACATGCCCAATTGTCCTTATTATATTCCTAACAAGGAGAGTCCTTCAAAGTTCCCTATGAACTGAACTTACAACTTATGTAAATTATGGTCATTTTTAAAAAAAAAAAACACTCATCTGATTTTGAAACCTTCCCCCTGTGATCCTCTTTTACTAAAGATTGCACATGGAGTCAGCGCTTTTTGTCATCATTTGTATACTATCCGAAAAGTTTCTCATTTAAATATAATCTGGTCCGACTCCTGCAAATGCTGCTCATAATGCTTTCTGTTTCTCAATAGTGATGTTATGCTCTCGAGTTTTCAAAGTTTTGGGGAAAATCACTCATCAAATCTTCGAATTATTCTCGTTTCTTCCTCTTTAAATGTCTCTCTCATATATTTAAGTGTTACAATTTTAAAGAGTCTGTATTTTATGACATACCTAAAATTTCAAGATGCATGTTCGTTCAGGAACTGAAAATGGTGAAAATGATTTTACGTGATTCACATTTCAGAGAATTCTTTCTTACAGGAGCAAGGAATTATTTTGTCTAAGATTAGGAAAATAATTAAGAACATCGGACTATTTGTGAAGGTATTTGACAAAATGCCTAATGTTGATATTTGCCGGCGACATTTGCATAATGTCTAACGAGAGACAAGAGAGAATAGACCCTCCACTGGTATCTTGGCAATGGTGGAAGCTTTTACTTTCGGGACCTCAACATTCAACTGTCCAGCTACCAATGCTAGGTGGATGGTTAACAAGTAAAAGCTTCCACCAGTCACCAAGAGGCCAGTGGAGGGTCTCTTGTCTATGTGTCTGATATGAATACAAGTGTAGAAAGAGCACAAACATGCCGACATATGGAGCTCTTAGGGCCCAAAAGGGGAGCCAACCTTCAAACACAGAAAATGTCACTGCCAATCCTCAGATTCCAATGTCAAAATAAGATGGCCAACAATGCTCGTAAAGAGAGCTCTACCGCAAAAATGAGTGAATTAACGTAAATATTAAATCCAATATGTGCTTCACAAACGGCGGGCCGTAAACATTCTCATAATATATCATTCTGGATAAATTTAATCCATAAGTTGGCTGCCTTTTTGTACCCTACAACCTCCATCGTCTAACCCCAAAATTACCAACATGTCCGTACTGTCCCTGTGTAGGTACTCTAGTCTGACATACCTCTATACGTCTGAACGTGTAACAGGGTGATGACATGGTGCTGAGTTCACACCATTTCGCGGTGAAAACAAAGCCAAAAAGTTTCAAAAATTTCAATTAAAGTTAAAACATTTTTGAGTTCTAATGACGGCGTTTCGATGACGCTTTGGAATTTGTGGGATGCTAGGTTGGGTTATTCACTGACGAGTGTGATCTACTGATGAGGTCTGAAAAGACCCAAAACGTTATGGATCTCTTGGCGTGTCCTCAATTAATATTCCAACGCAAGCTGCCTGAGATGAATACTCTCTCCCCCTCAGTCTTGTACCGGTACTCATTAGAGGTCAAACAATTTTGACTTTAATCATATATTTTTGATTGTAATTGAACTTTTTGGTTTTTGCCCCTACGAAATGGTGCGGTTAAAAAAAGCACATTGGATCTAGAGTCCAGACTCTTAAAAACATCGACAAGAAAAATTACTCTTGATTCAGTCAGAATCTAGCTTAAATCAAGAACCAAGCCTCTTAATTTAAGCGGATTTCGTTCTGATTCAAGCAAACATCCGATTGAATCAAGAGTATTTTTTCTTGTTAATGTTTTCAAGAGTCTGGACTCTAGATCCAATGTGTCTTTTTTTCCAGTGTGTGGACCCGGCACCATTTCACCACCTTCTTACATTCAGTTCGGACCATTTTTTAGTGTTTTTTCTCGCTTGTGAATGTGGTTAGTGCATGTTGTGAAGGGGCCTTCGCTTGTCTTGCAGGTTACACAGGTCAGTGCAACCCGACGATCGTTACCGAGTTCGCGGCGGCGGCCTACCGAATCGGGCACAGTCTCCTGCGACCGCACATCCCGCGCATGTCCAGCGGGTTCCAGCCCATGGAGCCGGCCATCCTCCTCCGCGACTTCTTCTTCAAGCCGGACATCGTCTACAAACCGGGCATGGTCGACGAGATCGTCAGGGGGCTCTCGGCCACCCCCATGGAGAACCTCGACCAGTTCATCACCGGCGAGATCACCAACCACCTCTTCGAGGATCGCCGTCATCCTTTCTCGGGGATGGACTTGCCTGCGCTCAACGTTCAGAGAGGTAAGAGTGCCCACTGGAAAACAATCTGCTTTTCTTGACAACACCTGAAGAGCGTTCAACACCTGAAGAGGTGTTCCCAAATATTGTATAATAAATCGAGAATATCCGCGTAAACTTATATGAATATTATTATCCTTCTTATCTTTCTGGTAGTTTTGTTCGCAATTTCAAATGAAGTTCCTCATTTTAATACATGTTTTAAAGCTACACACAGTTTTTCTGAAAAGTTTCCGCGAATTTACCCAAATGATCTCAAATAAAAGTATCGAAAATTACGACGCGATAAGTTCGTTCTATCTACTTTTAATGTAACAAGAAAAAAACAGAAAAACAACTAAAAAAACAAACAAAAATTATAGATTTTCCAAGTTTCTGAATTGTTACCATGAGGATACGTATTTTCTCTTTAATCATGGTAAAAACTGGAACAGAAAATCACATATGATGGCACGCAGTTCTATAGCATTCCTACGGTCTTGTAGGTGCTAATATGCGTTTCACGCCATCTGACCGGCTGCATTGCGTTTGGCGTAATGCGAGAAGAATTCATGCAGTCTTGTAGGCGCTGATATGAGCCGTACGCCGCGCCGCGCGCCGACCGCACTGTTTGGCGCAATGCAAGAGGTATTCCCACGGTCTTGCAGGCGCTAATACACGCCGACTTCACTGCGTTTGGCGCGAGTATTCGAACTCGTGTTAAGATTTTCGCGGAATCGAATAATAGAGCTTAAAAAACCCATGTTGTGTTTCGACGCCGTTTGAGCATTTCAACGTTGCCTCGTTTCTCCCGATTGAATATTTTTTCCGAGAAAAGTTAGGAAAGTTCTTGGACCACCTACCATCATTCACTCCTTTCACTTCATTTATCATCAGAAGGAAAGACATCGATGACTTGTCAACAAACTTTCCTAAGCTAGCGTTAACATCAAAATGCGTTTATTTTCCAACAATTTCCTGCTATGCCAAACTTCTACCTTAAATGAACTTTATTTTAAATTCGTGCATTCTTGTAACAGATGTTAAGGTTTTGATTCGCACAATCCTTCTGCCTTTTTTGCTTAGTTCTCATATATTTTCTTACACCTTCCACGCAATCCTGGATCACCGGTGAAAAAAGATCCCATATTCCAAAAATTTAAAATTAAGTAACTGATATCACTCCACAGCGAAAATTCGGACATTTTGGAGCAAGTTTGAGCTTTCCAACTCAAAAACCGAGGGAAACATGACGTTTTAAAGTTCCAAGATAAAACCTCTTAAGCTATAAGTTAATTCTTTAGATTTTTAGGGTAAGGATTCTGACAAGCACACATAAAAAAGACAACTAGCAATCTACGTGGTGAAAAAATTAATATTTAGGCAGAATTGCCAATTTTGACATGTTCCCCTGAATTCGGCTCGCGTGGATTATTGATCAAGTCCCTTTTCACAGATCCTTACAAATGATTTTTACGCTTCTAATATGTTAATCAATGGTTATAACTGCTACTCAAACTCATTGTACTGGAAAAAGAAAAAAAAAAACACATTGGATCTAGAGTCCAGATTCTTGAAAACATCGACTAGAAAAAGGACTCTTGATTCAAGCAGATTTAAGCTTAAATCAAAAGGAAATCCACTCAAATTAAGAGGCTTAGTTCTTGATTTAAGGTTAAATCTGATTGAATCAAGAGTATTTTTTCTTGTCGATGTCTTTAAGAGTCTGGACTCTAGATCCAATATGTTTTTTTCCCAGTGTACACTTTAACAATAAGTTCATACTTTTCTAATACTTTCACTTACTTATTTTCTTTTCATTTACTAATATTCAGCTCGTGATCACGGCATCCCCTCGTACAACGAGTACAGAGCCCTGTGTAACCTGAAGAGGGCTTCTAGCTGGGATGATCTGGCCCGAGAGATCCCCGGTGAGGTTATCGCAAGATGGAAGAGGATATACGCTAGCGTTGACGACATCGATCTCTTCCCCGGAGGTATCAGCGAACGACCTGTCAAGGGAGGTCTCGTCGGACCAACCTTTGCCTGCATCATTGGACTTCAGTTCAGACAGGCCCGAAAATGTGACAGATTCTGGTAAGACTCATTCATTTTTATTTGAATCAGTGACAACGAAAACACACCAACTCGGAAAAATAAAAATAATCAAGACACTCACAAAACTGCACAGTAGGCGAAGAAGTTGAGTTAAGAAAAATATTTTTGCTGCCGAAAGACAAGCACTTATGGACACTTTTAAGATCCAAGTTGAAACAGATGCGCTAACTTCAATGACCTTTGGGTAAATTAACCGTCTTTAATGAAAGTTGCGCATTTTCGAGTTATCAAGTTGATGTGTTCTCGATCTCACCGATTCATTTGTAGGTGAGGTAAATTTGATCAAATCCCGCCTCTCGGATGCTTTTTGTAAACCTCGTCATTACGTTTCGAGCGTTATTAATATTTATGATAATGAAGGCCTTCAATAAATCTTACGTTCGGAAACTTTTAAAATGATTTTTTTTTTTTTTTTTTTTTTTTTTTTTTTTTTTTTTTTTTACCCTGATTTGAGCATTACTGATTTTTTTCTTGACTTTGTGCTGAAAATGTAGCAACGAAGAAATATTGACCTTCCTACTTCACAAAAGTAGAAATCAGGCTAAATTTGAAGAAAGAGGATTCTCTTCAATCACAGCAGTATGTCCCTTGGTTCATCTAAAAAAATATATTCCACCTTCCAAAATTGTTTCCAGGTTTGATCAAAATTCTCCAGCTCATGTATTACTGAACGATTTTTTCCAGGTACGAAAATGACAACCACGTCGTCAGGTTTACGGAATCGCAACTTGCCGAGATTCGAAAAGCCACCTTGTCTAAAATTTTCTGCGATAACTTGGACTACCCTCACGAGATGCAGCGAGCTATCTTCGATCAGCCAAATGATTTCTTGTAAGTTTTGAAAATTCACACATTGAACTTATTAATTTATTTTTTTTTAAGCCTTTTGCCTCGTCACTTAATTTTAGCCGTAAAAGCCCAATTTTTTTTGTTTTGTTTTTGGTTAGGCTTTCTTTTGGATTGATAATTTTACCGAAAAATAATCCTCTGCGAAAATTTCGATACTAAACAATGATCGATTATGTTCCCCATCATTGCAGTTAGTTAGTTAGTTAGTTAGTTAGTTAGTATAATTTTAAGACATTTAGCGTCTCAGGCTATAAACGTCTTTACAGATAATTTTGAAAATGGGAGTATAAACGAAAATTTAGATTTTTAAATTAAGAGAGGTGAAGAGTTATAGAATTTTGGTGGTAATATTGGGTTCATCGCATGTATCATTGCAGTGCATCAGCTGCTTGCGTCACAATATGTAGAATCTACACGGTCACAGATTTTATAGCAACATATATATGTACAACCAAAAGATTCTTTCACATGTCATGTTCCGACGTTCAATAATAACGAGGATATGAATAAATTTAGAGCGCGTTCATATCAGCTTCTCATTGAATAAAACATCGCCTTGTTTGTTATAAATTAGCGACGAGGTTTAACTTACATGCAAATTGCGTTCTACTCTTGTTCGGGGAAGCTTTTCTAACTCTCACTACATACTTTTTTTCCCCCACGGCCATCGAAATCTTTAGGTTTGTGCGTCATTTTCCTTGAAAACTTGCTTGCATTTAAATATCCAGTAATCGGAACAAATAAGTGTGCTCATTTAATTTTATGCAGGAACCCACGAGTACCATGCCACTCAATGCCGTCCATCGACTTGAACGCGTGGAGAGAAAATGTTCAAGGCTGCAACATTGCCGGAAGGACAGTGCCGGTCGGTCAGTCGATGCTGCCATCACCTTGCACGAGCTGTATTTGCACGAATGAAGGGGTAAGTCTATGAATGAACTTTAACACGTAGTGAAAAATGCGTATGGAATGCACATAACAATTCAAAATTCCCCCATCTTGTCTTATCTGTCATTTAATTTCTTTTCTTTTTTGGAAAAAAAGTAAAGAACCTAATATTTTTTTTGAATTTGTTGAGAAAAGATCAAAACTTACTTTGAGCTTTTTATTGATCTTGAATTTGCTAACCAAACAGAAAATCCTTGACTTAAAACCACTTCAACCATAATAGGTATGAATCTATGATTAACACCGCAAATTTCTGAACATTGCCCAAAATAAACACACAAGCGATTAACTGTAAAATGCAAGGAAAGCACCGTACTTTCAAAGGATGCCTTTCACTCTTAATATGTTGGAGCGCCTTCAATTTCGTATGATACTGTGCAACACCTCTGTTGAGAAATAGGTGCTTGAGGCGCCGTGGCGCGTGGCACACTGCGGCGCGGCGGGCGGGCGGCCAGCGCCTACAAACCTAAGGGGATACTTCAAGCGTTGCGCAATGCGTGAAGTATCCACTTAGGTTTGTAGGTGCCAGTGCGCGTCTCACGCTGGCAGCACGCCGCGCGCCGTTCCGCTCTGTAATAGGAATGGGCAGAATTTAAACTCGTGGAGTCAGCGTTTTTCTACGCATGATTTTGAAATGTTTGCACACTCCACATGGATTATTCTCATTTAAATTGATGAAAAAAATACATATATTCATGTAAGGAAAATACAATGTGAGTTTTGTAAATATTAAAGTGGCTCCGTGTCAAAAATGACTACCAAAGCACTTCAATTTTTTCTTTTATATTTTGTGCGCAACCAAACGCTCATTATTGGGCGTATTTGACTCTAAAAGATCGACTTACAAATTAGTTAAAACCAAATGCATGCTTCTTGGTTTTTCCCCCTCTTTTATTCATTTTCGTAGTTCCTTTCAACACAACTACGGCTCATTGAAATTAATATCGATGCCATCGCTTGGAAAAGGTTTTACAAATATGCGCCACGTTTTAAAAATTTACATGTTTTTAAAATGAAGTAATATTTTCATTTTAAAAAAAAGTGAATGTAAGGTATATTTCATATAAAAAATGTTAAGGATAGAAATAAAACCAAATTTTTACTGAAGGCACTTTGAAAAGATGAATCAAAAGAAGGAAGTAACATTTCATTTAAGTTTTTACAGGGAACTCTTTTCCACATGATCAGAAAACTATTTCGTCTACAGCCAGCAAAATAATTGGAATTTCAGTCTAAATAAGTAAATTTGGACCGCGTTAAACAGAAAGGAACCAAGCCACATCAGCTATTGCCAAATTTAATCTGGCAATTCAACTTTTTACATGAAAACGGCTGTGCGGATTTTTGTGCAAATTTCTATGAATTTTCTCCATAATACAAAGCAAATTCCTTAAAATTTTCAAAGGAATCCGCACAAGCGTTCTCTCGTAAACAATCTAATTCCCCTGTTTTTGGCAATAGCTGATGTGGCTTGGTTCCTTTCTGTTTAACGCGGTCCATTTAACTATTTGCCTAGGCATTTAACAAAATGCCAGATTTGACTATTTGCCTATATTGCCACAGATGTCTATCTCTTTAACTAATAGACATACTTATCTCTTTCCCCAGCCTCAATGCGCGTCCCTGCGCGTGACGGACTGCTCGCAGCTGCTCCACGAGGCCGGCAAGAGCGCCATCCTCCGCGACGACGTCTGCTCGGCCCAGTGCGCGAGCTTCCTCGGGGAGTCGGCGCCCCCCTCGGCGAGGGGCAACTTCGGCGACTCCGCCGCCTCCTTCGACGACCTCATCTCCATCACGACCGTGCGCCCTGTCTTCCCGCCCAAGGCCCGCGAGTTCGTGCCGCCCTCTAGTCTCATCCCCCCGCCGGCCCTCTCCGCCCTCCCCCCCAGCCCCCTCGTCCGGAGCCGCCCCCGCCCCAGTCTCCGCAACCTCCGGCTCAGCGAGATCGCGGCGGCCGTCGTCGGCTGAACCCTCGGTGATCTTGTCCAAGGTGACGTCATTCATGTTGACAGAAAGGAATCCTCCCACACGTAGAAATCACACGGCGGCACCTGTCATAACGGAATCAAGGAAAGTCCGTTGAATGCAGGTTTCCGTTATGGGTGATTGTTGAAATTGTGTGTGAGTTGATCGGGTAAGACAAGATAAAACACGATTCAGGAATCATTGAGAAAAAGTATGGTAATATCTACTAAAAGTCTACTTGATTTTTTACACAGTGATACTATTTAGTGAAAATAACCAGAATTATAATAGTATTTACCAGAACTCTGCTGATAGTGACCATAATATGGTAAATGCTACCATAAAGCCTGGTGTTTCTTACCATACTCGGATCACTGTGCCAAAGTATGGTGAAACCTACCATACTTTTTTTCCAGGAATGGAGCTGTGTGATTGGTCAGCTTTATCTCTTATTCTGCCGTGCTGAGGAGGAACATTTGAGAGTCGCCAAATTTCCTTCGATAAAATGATCATTTTTGAGGAAAGTTATGAATATTTTTCCGTTACATTTTCAGAATCTTTAGGTGAAATTGTGAACTAAATTATCTGAAAAATTGGGCAAAAAATATTCATAAATTTATCAGGAAATTTGCGTTTTATGAAAGGAAATGAGGCAACGTTTTTGGCAAATACGGTGTTTTTCCTTAGCATGGCAGTACTGTCCTCTTTGTCGTATAGTATTAGTGAGAAATTGAAGACTACCCTTAAGTTACCGATAGTTTGTCACCGACACGTCCAAACAAACGCATGAGAGAGGGACGATTGATAAAACTGACCAATCACATGACTCCATTCTTGTCTTTGTCTGCTCTATCCTGTCTTACCCGATCGACGAATACAAAATTTCTAGGATCACGCTGCAGGTCGGTTGACATGCATTTATCATCGAACAACGGAAATACCAATACCGATCAAATTATCAATTCCTGCGTGTGACGTAAGTTTGGAACGTTCGAGGTTATTGATGATTGTATCAAAGACAGAAGTTCCGGAAAATTTTACCAGATTTTTCAGAGTACTCTTATTTCCAAGTCCTTGGTTGTTTTTTCCAGAACTTCCGTCGAATATGTTGACCTGATTCAGTATTCAGGTTTGCAAAAACTGCCAAAGGTCAAAACATTCTCTATTCATTTTCGATGATAGAGAATGGTTTGATTCACATACTGCATTGATATGAAAGTTAGTCGAAAGGCATTCTCTAGTGAAAAATGGATTTGATAGTGGGTATGGAAAACATTTTTTGGCTACTAATTTAGCTGTGATGAAGGAGCTCTACCTCAAGAAAAACTACCATTTCTCGTTTGTGTTTATAATTCATAGGTATCACACTAATTTAGTCCCAAAGAACGTTGCACCAAATGACTGAAATTCGCATTCACATAGCTCCGAAGAAAAAATTTGAAATCCCCGCGGTCATGAATATTTGTGGCCAACAAAATGCTCAACTGCCATATATCGAAGTGTACACGATGTAAAAGAATGGTAGTGACTATTATACTGTCCAGCTTAAATTAGTAAGTTTCGAGTCTTAATCATACATATTGCTTATTTGGTTGCAACACTAGTAGTGAGTATAGAACCGCCGACTAGTTTTTCTCGAGACTACACGGACAGAAATTTAGTAACCACAACCATTCTTTTTCTTGTGTATACCTAGATTGATTTAATTATTAATTAAATATCTGCATTGATATTGCGTTACAAAATAATTCTGCTGTGCCTATTATTCCACTTGCGCTCGTCAAAGGCGCGTGCTGAATTGGAAATGGAGAGTAAGTTATGTATGTTTCTCTGTAAAAAACTTGCTATCTCTATTTACTGTATTTTCTCATTTGCGAAGGTGCATGATCTATAGTATATTCGTATTATATATTTTTACGTTGGAACTGGTTTCCTTGTTGCAAACCATACAGTTTCCATTTAGGCCGTCGATTTTATGCTAAGTTCCAAGTTTTGACCGAGTTATTCAACAAAATGGCTGTCATGAATTGAAAACTTTAAAAGGTTTGTTTCCCATTTCCTTATCAGGAGAAAATTAGTTTTCTTTTGCAAAAAAATTTAACTAAAATTCCATGACCGAATACCTTGTACATTTTTCCACAATTCAAACGCGGACTGTGTTAATTTTTTTATTTTCTTTTTTTAAGTTGTAAATTTTTGTTAAATAGTGCCATAAACGTACCTATATCTAGGAACTTTCAAATTATTTTTAGGCTGTTTTGATTTTGGGATAAAAATAACCCACGCTCGACGCACCATAAATTAACACGGTTGAACTTTGCCCGAAAAGATTCAAATAGTTTGATTGAAAATTAAATCAGCATATTGATCAGATCATCGCTTAATTAGTTAATCAATTCAAGTAGGTCATGTTATTTTCATCCATGTATATATGCAAACAGACTTTGAACCAACAACTATGTAATGCCATTTTGTTCGTTTTACCATTAGGATTATGTTTATCTCATGTTTATAACAAATAAATGTAGGGTTCTCGCAGTGACGATGCACTGCAAAACCAGATTCGATCACTTTGGAAACGTTCGATGACGGTTCTTCAACCAGAAGTCTTAGTATTAGATTAATCTGAACTTTTTAAGTATTTGAGAGTCTTCTAGATGTTTTAGTTAGAGTGCGTAGCCTTGACGGTAATTTCGTAATGTTTGTGTTAAATTAACACTTCTTGTATATAAATTGTCAATATCTCTTTGATTCCCCTTTCTTCTGACGTTGAAAATGGCTCAGCATTTATTTAGAACGGCAAGAAAGGGGCTGATAAAATCATGTTTGTTTGTATGGTTATATTTCAAAAATATGAAATGAACACTCATTTAGTGAAACAATCAGTCTACCTATAGCTTTGGGCTTTATTTCGAAATGCATTTCACACGTGAATTCATCGACATCAAAATCGGGATTACTGCAACCCCATTGTCGATTAAAAATGAAACTCGAGTGAATCAGCTTGTGAGTATTAGTGATCATGTAATGATGTTTATTGCATTCGCGTGATACTTAAAATGAAGCTGGCCCTAGCAGGCGTGTAAGTAGAGTTGAAATCGAATTTAACGGTACACTCTCTGGACAAAGAGGAGGCGTATATATGTAGTGCTCAAGTTATTTGTAAGAAAACAAAAATATAAAAAATCCAGTGACTGAATCGTTAAAATTCTTCTAAAATATTCTGTGGTTCATTCAGCGTGCAGCACTGATAAATTAATCGCAAATACTATTTTGTTCATCATTGTTTTTAATTTATTCTATTTTGTGTGTACGTAAAAATATTGTATAGTTTACAATTAGCGAGATATAAACTGTTGATCAAGAATGATAACTGGCATTTTTCTTTTTTTTCAAGTTCTTATGACATTTCCTCTTCTTATGATCATTTTCCATTTCTTATGACCTCTCATGGCCAAATTTTGCAATTTAATTGCAGAATGTGGTCCATATGATTTACATAGACTGATTTCAGCAGGAATGCATGATGCCACATCAAGTTTGAATCAAGAAAAAGAGGTCTAACGTTTTACATTTCATTACTTGATGTTGGGAACTGATTTCATCGAATTTCCCACGGCCAAAATATTTTTTTTTAAATCTGAATCGTTGAAAGGTGAAAATTCACAACTAGCTTATTTCAAAACTCCTCTGAATTCAATTTTTTTTCCTTTCCTTTTTTAAAAATATTTTTAAATGTGACTTGAGGAGTTCCTATTAAATATTGCAATTTTTCCGTTGAGAAATGCTACTTGGGAGGGGTTGATTTTTGTAATTTTTGTTGTGTGATTCGTGCTCTACGTAAAATTTTTATTGAGAAATATGTATCAGAATACTTAAATTTGTACCTTGTGTAGTGGACCTTTGTACGTCTTCAGAAATAAGAAAGAAAGAAATAGTTAAACACGAGGACGTCATAAAATAAAAATTAAATGCAATGAAGAATTGTATCCCTCTTGCCAAATCAACGTCGAGTGTTGACTTGTAAAGTCTTAGGATGGCTCCTGTCGGTTGCATCTATACACGCAAGCGTATAATCAGTTGCGTAGAAGAAAACTGAAGGCGTGCACAGACGCAAAGCATAAACCGCTCACACTTAACTCAGAGCAGAGGTTGATGTAAGCCTGGGAGACTCTTCTTTCTCATTTTTAACTGATCTTGCGATGTCACTTTTAATCATCCCTCCAATATTCATCTTAAAATTACACCTTCGTGCTTTCATCAAGGGTCCGTCCCTAAATTACGTAAAGCACTTTTTTGGCATTTTTGACACCCTCTGTGTAACGCTTTTTTGACGTAGGTCCCTATCCTTTGAACACAAAATGGCGTGACGCTGTTTTCGACCCTTTCTCTCCTCTAAAGCGTCACAAAATTTAGGGCGTTAAGATAGGAATCACCTATCTGAGTATTATTAATCGTTCAACAAACTATTCAAAGTGAAATTGAGTTATTAGGGATGCATTATTAGAGGAGGTTAGGATGGGCTAGGTTCAACCTCGACGTGGACTACATTTGAAAAAAAAAATCATGAAAACCAATTAGCGTTAAAATTAAGTTAAATTCCATTGATCACCCACATTTACGCTATACACAAAGTAAACTGCAACATTTGCAACACGAGAGACTAAACTTTTACATAAAATTTGTGTAGAAATTTCGTTAAAATGTACAAAATATAAAGTGAAAAAAAACTTTTAAAATGTAAGACAACGTTTTACCCCGTGACGAAGGTCGGCACAGGTACTCCAGCAAAATACGGAATTTGAAGTATGAAAAATGGACCATTACGTCCGATTTCTTTGCTTAAATTAACTGATGATATAATTTCAAACACGTTATATAGAATGACTCTGTTCCATGAACTACACCATTCCCAAGAAAATGGATGGTTAAAATCGTCCATACCGACCTACGTCATCAAAAAAATCCAAGATGCCCGAAATGCAAAAGGTGCAAACACCTCCTTTTTTTCTCTAAGCATACAGTCATACTCTACTAGAGAATCTCTACAATGACTGCACGTCTACACCGATCAATAAATCAATCACTCCCCCGTCTACATTCACCGATCCGCGGTAAACGCAGGTCAGCAAGTTGACACGTGAGAATGGGATCTAAATCATAGAGGCTGTGAACAGCTCGTACTCGCAAGAATGCACACCGCAAGATGCCTGGCAAGGCTAGCCGCGCACCTCTGTCTTTAAAGTTAGAACAGAAACGCATTATATTAGAGATGTCTTAGAACAAAGAATTTAATTTAATCTCAACTTCCTCTAGTACCACTGTCAGTTACAAAAGCTGCAAATTTCGCAGAAAAAAACTCTCAAAAAACCAGCTAAAATTTACAAGTTGTGAGACCTTTTTTCTTTTTTTTCATTTTCTTTGCGTGACAACGTTGTCTTACTTTTTAAAAGTTTTGTTTCACTTAATATTTAGTACATTTTA